ACATATATACATATATATACATACATGTATATGTCCTCTCTCTTTGGCTCAGATTTGTCCCACAGACTAGGATCACTTTTAATCTTCTTGGCCTCAGGACAGGGGTCCTGGCGAAGAAATCCAAGGGGTCTCTTGTGGAAAACAACACTTAGTTTTCCTGGATAAAACATGGTCATCTTCCACATTTTGGCCTAGTATGCAGCAAAAAAGGGTGGACCACGTGTTGAAGAAAATACCTGAAAACCTTTGAAATGTAATTTGTATAAAAACTTATGATTAATTCATTAGAGACAATCGGTGTAGAATGGTAAAGTTCAATTCAATTCAGTTTTATTTATATAGCGCCAAATTACAACAAATGTTGTCCCGAGGCACTTTAAAAAAAAAAAAATTAAATTCAATCACACATACATTCCCTTTAATCCTAGTTATCACACGGTACAGAGAGCTCAACTGATTGTTCAACGTTCAAGGATTCAAGGTTCTTTATTTGTCATTCACACCTCATGTGGTGGGACAACGATGTGTACACAGGGTTACAGATACATCCAACAAAAGTATAAAATGTTAAAGAAAAACAGTAATAAGATCTAAAATATGAACTAAGAAAAATGATTACTAAAAAAAGACTACAACGTACTGGTTTGCTCAGATTCTTGTTCATCACTGGCAAGTTTGCAACATAACCAGTCAGATTATAATTATGATAATTAATATTTAGTCAGATTATAATTATTAGTCATTAGTCAGATTATAATTATTAATCGCTCCTGTTTCCTAGAATATTTTGCAAAAAGATCTGAAGCTCTCGACCTTGGCTCTAAGTGGCTTTAAACATCTGTTAAGTTCATGGGAAAAACCATTGCAGACATGTTCTTGTTTTTATCAGAATCAGAATAAGCTTTATTGTCATTGTACCGAAATACAACAAAATGATGTGCGTACAGCCGTCCAAAGATGGGCTGAGTGCACGCAGCTGCTGCTACTGGAGCGCGGCCTCAGTCTTTTCAGAATACTTTTGCTTAGATGAGAAAACGAGAAGAAAACATGAGGAGAGAAGGCATAAAAAAGTTCTCTCACACCTTGTCCTAGACAGGGCACGGTTTGAGGCATCAAAAAAATCTACCACAGCAAAGCAACATAGACATTATACGTATGAGGCCGGTGAAGGCATAGAGTTTAATGGAAGGTCGTAGCGTAGTCCAGAGCCCCCTCAGCCATTGTCCAGATAAGAGGTGTTTGTTATCATCCAGCTCGGTGAAGGTTCTGTCACATGTCCGCGGCCTTGGGGAAGGGAGGGATGAGGAGACAGACAGATCATCTTTGTTTTCATAACATCCCAGGAGGAATTGAGATAGTCCGCTTCCAAGGCCAGATCCACAGTTTGGGTCAGGCAGAACTCGTAATTTGCAGTCTCGCTAGTACGTTCTCTGATGGTGACTCCAAACAGCCGAATTGATTATTT